ATTGTTGTACTTCGTTCAGTTACGTATTGTAAGGATGATGTAATAAGACTGTTAAAGTATTTCAATATACCACCCGATGCTAAGATTTTTATAATGATATTTTAAACGATGAAGTCACTGTTGAAGTCAAGCTGATGAAGATTGTCAAGAATACGAAGAAGATACACTTTAATAAATTATTATGTTTAATTAACTCATTTCTAATCTATAATTTATTATTTTATTTGATACAAAATCTTACTACATAAATGTACTGTTATACTGCCTGTTATAGGTATATTTTGTATGTTATAATGTTATATTTATTACTATAAGTTTTATTATGTTTGGTTTGATATTTTACCAAGGTAGGTAAATCAATTATTATAAAATAAACTCATTTCTAGTCTCTAATTATTTTTTGATACTCAAAATCTTACTATATAAAATGTATTGTTATACTGCCTATTAGGTATATTTTGTATGTTATAATGTTATATTTATTACTATAAGTTTTTATTTGTTTGATATTTTACCAAGGTAGGTAAATCAATTATTATAAAATAACTCATTCTAGTCTCTAATAATTATTTTATTTGATACTCAAAAATTTTACTAAAATGTATTGTTACACTACTTATTATATAATTTTGGTTGGTATGATATGTTATTTATTATTATAATTATTATTATGTTTGATATTTTACCAAGGTAGGTAAATAAATAAATGAAGTTTAAATCTATAGCATTATAATTATACTAATCCTTTAATAATATTTACCATTTTATTCTTATTTCCAATTTTTACAAATGTACATTTTCCATAATGTACGTTTTGATAAAATCTTCATCTTTTTCCAAACCGTACTTTCCAAATATTGTGCAAACCGAATTACTTATTCCGGAAAAGGTCCGTTTGTAGAAAACAATTTTAAATCTTAAGAAAAGCAATAAATAATGTAATTAGAAAGAATAAATTTATAAACAATTGAAGAAGATTTTTAGAATTTTTTAATATCCTTGAATGTTTTTACGCCAATCAAAATACCCTAAACAGAAAACCTGCAATACTGAAAATTAGAAAAATGGAAAAGTCCGTTTTGCATTGAGGCCTCAATTATGATTTGGTAATGTGCGTGGAGAATTATGGACATTTGCACTTATCCCGAAAATTGTACGTCTATCGGCAGTTAGCGATTGGGTTTTCGTGCTTTTCGTCACAGAACACGAGACCGACTTGGTGTAATCACTGATTCACCGGGATCTTCCGTGTTTCTTGTCAGCAGAACACGGGACCGACCCGTGTAATTGCCGATAGACCGATAAAACCCCGCGACACGACCATCTAATACCATTCTCCGTCTTTCCGACTTTGTAGTAAGACCCACCCGGGCAGACTTGCGCAAATAGGAAAGGCGGCCTCCCAGACCTCACTTGTCGAACGGTTTGTGACTCGGTCAATGGTGCAATAGTTGGAGTTATTCTGGCATTGCATCGATCAGTCACCTACCCTGTGGTGCAATAGTCAGAGTAATTCCGGCATTGCATCGGTCGACATACCGTTCGATAAGCCCCCTCCCCTGTCGTGCTCCGTCGTGTCGTGGCGTCGTGCAGCTTCTTCCGCACTCTTTGTTTTTATTATAATATAGTTGAACTTTAAAAACTCAGAGTGTTTTCGTTTCGTTTCATTTCATTGTATCGTTCTAACATCAATGTTGTAGAATTTTTCTTCCTTTTCCATCGTGTGTTTTACGAAATTTTTCCACATATTATTTCCATCCACTTGCTCTATACCTTCTAATAATAAAGTTTTGACGTCACTTAGTTTGTAGCTGATGTTGTTTTTTTTACATGATCTTTTACGTTAGCCCACGCCAATTCGATTGGGTTTAACTCGCAATGATATGGCGGAAGTCTTAAAACTTTCTTGTTGTGTGTTTGGGCCAGTTCGTCAATTATATATTTTTCGTATTGTGGTTTTATTCTCTTAACTATGTCGAGTAATTCGGTGATCACCATAGGTCGATCAATAACTTCGCCTTTTTCCAGTAACCATTGTAAGATATCTGCTTTTTTTGTTGATGTATTCGGAATTTTTTCTTTTTTCATGGAGTGGTACGGTGCGTTGTCCATTATAATTCCACAATTATCTTTAAGTAGTGGTAATACATTTGCCATTCAGTTATAAAATACGTCACCGTTCATTTCTTCGTGGTAGTCGGTTGTTTTTTTGGACTCAAAACCTAACCTGGCACGAACCCGTCTTCTGACCCAATGTGGAGAACAATGAGCCTCTTGCCTTTGCCAGATGGATTCTGAGAACCCGTCGTGAGTCCTTGTAGAAATGCGTCATGAGGCGATTTAATTGTCTTGTCTACCCACGTTTTACTTGTACAATCGCCTGCGTTGACCCATGTCTCGTCAAGATAATAGATATGTCGCCCTTCTTCACGATATTTACGGATATCTGCCAAATACCGTCTACGCCACAAAATAATTTCGTTCTTTTCTACAAGGGGGCTGTTGCGACTGCGTTTTGTGTACACAAAATCCATAAATTTCAACATACGATACAAATTCGTCCTTGAAATGTTTAGCAAAGTTTTGTCGTTATTTATAGTAGTTAGTATTTTGTCCAATGTTGGTATTGTTTTATTGAACCAAAATGAATGTACATGCAAACGTACTGCATTCATTTGTATTTCGTCAAAATTTTCTTTAAATGTTGTCCTCGTTCGATTTTTGCTTGGAGAGGTCACAGTTTTTTTGGAATTATATTCACTGATGATATTTGAAACTGTCCGTTGCCCAATTCCAAGTAGTTTAGAAATATATATGCGAGCGTCACTAACAGTTACGTCTGGATTTTTTCTCAACTTCATCTTATATGCATTCACAATCATAATGCGTTGAGATGATGAAATAGGTTGGAATAAAATACGAAAAAAACTATGTTAAATAATGTATAATATACAAAAAATATATATATATTAAATACATACTATTATATATAAATTACTGATAATTTAGGTAGGTATATAATAATATATTCAATACATATTATAATTATTATTATTAATATACGAAATAGGTATATATCTTTTTAACTTACCTTTCCCATAGGATTTTTTTTTGAAGGTGATACATTAGCCATGATGCCTGTAGTGTCACGTGAAAATGAAACGAAATAAAAAAAAATTCAAAAAGAACAGCAAAAAAAAAAAAAAAACAGCAAATGCGCACAAAAAACAAAACGACGTGTTACCGCGTAATACCTTTAAAATGTTGTGACATTATACAACACTCTGTATAGACGGTGCACCGTGCCGCCGCCGCGACGTACCGTTGAAGAAACGCGCTCTAGCATGCGCGAAAATCTACCGGTTTTCGTCGGCCGCCCGGTGCGCTCTTAAATGGAATGGAGTATACATTGTTTGAATATGTTATTCTATGGGTATACACATCAGTAATTAACAATAATTATAACGTTAACCATGGTCAAAATAATAATCAAAACACATCGTATCGTAATAATAATAGTTTCCAAGGTAGGAATAATAATCAAGTCCAAAATTCTAGGAAAAATAATTTTAATGTTAGGCGATGTTTTACGTGTAATCGCGAAGGACATTTTTCGTCACAATCAATGCCGGCGTTAGGTTTTGTGAAGCCCTGGGCGGAATACATTCCGCGAGGCCTTAAATTTATGGAATATTTAATACTGCCACTCATCACCAAAAAAGAGATAACCCTAATTTCCATAATTATTTACTTGAATATGCAGTTAATGATTATTTATACATTATACACTTATCATAATATTAATATAATTTCTAATATCCTATATTTATATTATAATATCTTAATAATTTATTAAAAAAAGTATTTATTGTTATAGTAAAATTGAGTTTTATTTTACCGTGAGTCTTACCAACTTAATACTTATTTAGGTAGATATTTAAAAGGAAAATATTTTAATCGCAAAAATTAAATAAACTAAAATACAAAAATAATAAGTCAATACGTGTTAAAATTAGTTGGTTTTTAATTATTACTTATATAAAATACTTATTAAATAAAATCTTAAAAATTACTTAAATTTAATTTTTCTAGACTTTTTAACCGCAAAATCTTCAATTACTTTATCATAATTTAAATTTTCGGATTCTTCTTTTTCTATAGCTAATAAAGCTAAGCCAGAAAGACGCTCTTGGGACATAGTACTTCTCAAATACGTTTTTATAAGCTTTAACTTTGAGAAGCTACGTTCTGCGCTAGCTGAAGTTATAGGAATTGTTAACATTATCCTAAGAGCGATGGCTAAGTTTGGAAAGGCTCCATTGCTTTTTTTTATAAAATTAAGAACTTCAATAGGAGTTACCGATTTATGGACTATGTTTTGGCAAATCAAAAGTTTTTCAATTAAATCATTGGCACAAATATCTTTTTCATCTCCTGATTGTAGATATAATGCTAAGTCCATACAATTTGCTTTCAGTTGTTCATGTGGTTTCAAACTAAGTTTTCCAATTCTAAATAAAAAAACCAAACATTTCGTTAAATTTCGATGTTTGTTCAAACCGTCGAGTGATTGATCCAATAGCACCATCCATTAAAACTAAAAAATAAGAGCATCTAAAATCCTCTTCAGGATCTTGTAATAACTCATCATTGCCTTCATATGCGAACATTGTTTTTTTCTTTCTATATCTAGGTATTTTAAATTCGTTTGATACCTTCAAATCCATGTTAAGTATTTTGGCTTCCGATTTAGCAGTATTGAATCCTATTTCTCTATAATTTGTTAAAAACTTTATTAGTCCATTTAGTAATTCTGATGAAATATCCAAGTTTACATCTGGACCTTGTAAACTTTTACTTACTATATTAACTTCACATAATACAGTGTACCAAATACATAAACTCATTAGAACTTCCAACGAACGAATCTCAGAAATTAATGAATTTGTTTCACTTCTGATTAGAGGATCACGTGTTTCATCTGATATTTCATCCAAGGCATCAATAATTTCTTTGACTTGAAATCTTATTGCTTTTATACTGTCATATCTGCTTTCCCATCTTTTTTCTGACCATTTTTTTACTGTCCACTTATGGCAATGTTTAGAAAATATATCCCATCTTCCCGTAGATGCTGAAAATAATGTGTAAAGTCTTTCAACAGTACCAAAGAAATGCACGGCTCTAACAGAACTTTTTGCTGTGTCTCCAAGAACAAGGTTCAACCTATGAGCTGCACAAGGCATAAAAAAAGCTCTTGGATTTTGCTTTAGTATTCGTGCTTGGACACCTTTGTATTGTCCAATCATATTAGCGCCGTTGTCGTAATCTTGTGCTCGGCAATCGTTCAAACTTATACCATATATTTTTAACTTCTCGACTAATACATCTGATAAATATAAACCAGTACTATCATGAATATTTGTAAAATCTAAAAAATATCCTTTTATTCGGGGTTCTGTTGATTCATTTTCTATGTCCATATCTACAATTCTAATAACAATTGATAATTGTTCTTGACGACTTGTATCCGGAGTGCAATCCATTATTATTGCGTAATATTTGGCCAATTTTATTGTTTGTATGATTGTTTTTTGAACTTCCTTTGCCATTACTTCGATTAAATCATTTTGTATATCATGTCCGAGATAGTGTATGTGTGTTTCTTTATTTTTTATACGTTGTAAATGTTCGATGATAATTGGGTCAAATTTACCAAGCATTTCAATTAGTCCAAGGAATTTTCCGTTATTTTTTTCATATAAAACATCTGTGGATCCTCTAAATGAACCATTGTGTTTAGCTAAATAGTGTATAACAGAAATTATACGAATCATGACATTCTTCCAATGTGTCTTTTCTTTTTCTATAGCTATTTGCTGTACCTTATCAATCGTTTGAGATTTTGAAATTCTAGTTTTTAATTCTATCCATTTTTGAGCAGCAATTATATGTGGCTTTGAACGTTCGTGAACTTTCAAATTATCACTCATGTATTTCAAGTCATTTGTGCCATTAGTAGCCAATTGACTCTGACGTAGATCTGAACTTGGAAATAATTTACAACAATAACAAAATGTGAGATTTTTAGACGTTGAATAAACCAACCACTGTCTATTTACTATTTCACCATTTGACAAAGTTCTATAATAATATTTATCAGAAAACTTTCTTGAAGTCTTTTGAATAGTATGTAAAGGATAGTCAATATTATTAACTCTAACTGGTCCAATTTTAATGATTTCATCTCTTAAATGTTGACTTAAACCTTCTATCCAGCTTGCTGGATCCCTCAAATCAATTTCTTGGATATCAATTCTGCGTGAGTTAATTTTAAAAGTTGCATCAATTGAATCGTCTACTGGAAAATGATTTTTATTTTCAGCTGTTGATGAGTGGTTTTCTTCTTCCGGTGTGTGTGATAGTTTGATTAATTTAGATGGTGATGTCGATATTTCCATGGTTTCTGATAAAAAATATGCTGGATGTTCATGTTGGATATTTGTTCTATCATAGGTAATTTTTAAAGTTTCTTCAACTGGAACGTCTACTGGAAAGTGTACTTTATTTTTAGATGTTGATGGCAATATTTCCATGGTTTCGGATAAATAATAGCACGGATTTTCGTGTCTTTCTATTTTTTCTGAAATACTTGACGAATTATTTAATGACAATTTTTCATTCGTTGTATTTAAAAAGTGTAGAAAAGCACCTCGTTGCTTATTCAAAAATTCTTCTTTGGCCATTTTTTTAATTCTTTTTTGGTGTCCTAATGGGTGTGACCGGTACTTGTCACGGTCTCTTCCACTCATTTTGATTAATAAAAATGATCTAAAATAGTAAAATGTACACGAGTACACGCTATACGATTATTTTATTTATTTAGATTGAATATAAACGCCTAACAGCTATTTAAAAAAAGTAGGAACATAATATACATAACATTAATTATGAATATTCTCAAGATGACATCAGCGCACTGTTCGTTTTCTCTCTCTGGCCGACGCACAACATAGACAAAACGCATTCAAACAAAGCAATTAATTATTTTTATTAATCTTAAGTAAATCGATCCATTACAAAAATTATTGACTAGGTATAATATTTTTAAGGGTATGAGTGTATGACACTATGACATATCGATTTGTTTAAGTAGGTATTGTCTCAAAACAATTTAATATTCATTTAAAATTGAAATGTTCAACATTTATCTTTAGCTTTAAAGGTTGAATATAAAATATTGTGCGTGGGCTTGAAAGAGAAAACAAACATTGCTCTGACAATCTGACGTCTAGTTAATCTTTCGAGAATTTGTAACTATTAGTATTTATTTTTATAAGCATGCATAGTTAATATTATTATTATTATTATTATTATTATTATTATTGAAATACGTCCGCACTTTACCATATTTAACCATAATACGTACGGTATAAAACTACGTTATTTTAATTTAACAATTATTAGTACCTATAGCTTGTGGCAACAAGAAGTAGATTGAATTTAATTTAAAATTTTTCATAATAAATATTTTTTATTTTTATTTCGAAATATACAATCTGTAATAAAGTTTACAATAAGCTTATAAATTAATCATATTGATATTATCATATTATGATATAATAAGTAAAGAATAACATGAAAAATGTGAATAAAGAAACTATCCAGCAGTTGTTGTATTTTTGGGCTTAATAATATAAAAAAATAAAACAAAATAATATTTATTTTTATATTTATATTGTATTTATTAATTAGTTATTTTAATTAGTTATTTAGAAATTGAATTTGATTAAAAGTAACTAGTAACGGCTCGTGAGTGAATATACTGGCAAAACTTTAATTTAATAAATTATAACGACGTACCTACAATAACTAACGAAAGCATGGCATATTATACTGTCGTAAACCCAGTTTCAATTGCGACTATTTTATACCAATACGCGACTTTTTCTCCCTGGCCCCCTTCGTCCACACAACGATAACATTACATGTTATGATTGAAACTGTCAGATGGGAAATTAATTGTATAATATTCTTAATTTTACATTTTTTTAAAAAATTGCAAATTTTTAAATACTAAAAAGTAAAATAGTTATAAATTACCTATTGGTTACTACCTACTCTACATATTTTTTCTATTACATTTGTCGTGTGCGAACATTAAATTCGTTTCTCTCAGATACCGAACACACTACATACGAGCAGTGTTTGGACGACCGGCGTCGTCCGAACAATATTCTGAATATGTAAATAAGCGGGGGGCTGCAATCGTGCACGTGCGGATACGTTTATTGTTTAAGCTGCGATGTTATGTTATGTACATTGTACGCGTAAGGACGACCGACAGCGTTATATACCTTCTACTATATTGGGTACCTAATTTATTTTTAAAATTAACAGCGTTGTCGGTTGCTAATTTTAATTTACATTTTCTACTGCGACTTGCGACTAGTAAGATTTATATTTTCGTATTTTTAAATAATTTGTTACTCCTATGACTACCGATATTATATTTAAAGTCACACCAACAACACCCACGAGCCGCCACTACAGGTATCACTCCATACTCCATAGAAATAACTATTTTTAAAGATTTTAGATTTAGCGGCGTTCAATAATAAATAATAATATTAATAATAAAGTAAAGTAAAGTAATAAAGTAAAACAACTAAGAAGTAACAAGTCTAACGCGGGTACATAATTTTAAAAAAGCAACTCGTCTGTAAGACAATAATAATTAATAACAAAACAATGAAATTGTATATTACTTACATTGTGTAGCTTATATCAATCTACATTGTAGATTCTACAAGATAGAAGACGACAACTATTCACCAGTAGTGTAGATAGTAAAATGATAGTAAAAAATGAAAATAAAGTGGCCAAATAAAATTAATTTTGTCAATCTATAAATAAACTATAAATAATGACTGAATGCCTTATACTGGTATTTCCACGATTTTTAATTATAATGATAATTGTGCTCCCCTAGTCGACTTGCTTTGAATAGTAATCATTGATAGTTATATTTATAAGTAAATATTCATATTCGTATCTAACTATTCCATAATAATTTACGGCGTGGAACCGGTTGCCATATTTCTGTACAGCAGTGAATATCTGTGTATTATAAAATCAATAACGCAGCATAAAATACGAATACTCAAAAATTTTTATTCACATAAATATGTAAGGTGCGAGGCCCTGGGCGTGGGCCCCACTCGCTCGGCCCTAAATCCGGCCCTGGTCACAATGTAGGATGAATAATCAATCATATACGCAACCACCCACCCAGCGGTAATACTAATCAAAATTCACGCGACACCTTCATGTATTGTAATCGCGGTATGTTACAAAAAACAAAACGACGAACGTCGTAGTAACTCGGGACACGGGCAGAACTCTCACGCGACACACGGGGCGCGTGCGATACAAACGATAACCGTGGACCCATCAGAAATTGCGTTCCAACAGTACTCACAAC